ACTTTTAGCAAGTATGATATATTTCTCCAGGAACTGGTCCCTCCCAATAATATAGCAAAGTATGAGAGAATTCTCATCATCCTGTCTTCTAAGGACCATTCTGACTGTACTTCTTTCAACACAGATTTATTTGTTTGTTTTTCTGGTAGTTCATGGTACTTTTAATATTCTTCTACAAAATCATAACTCAAATACATCAATTTTTCTAGGGTCTTCCTTATTCATTGTCCAATTTTCACACACATATGAAGTTATTGAAAATACCATGGCTTGGGGCAGAACCATCTTGAGTCCTTAACCTTACATCTTTGCTCTTGAATACTTTAAAGAGGACTTATGCAGCAGATTTGCCTACTGAAATATGTCATTTGATTTCTTGACTGCTGATTCCATGAGTGTTGATATTGGTTCTAAGTAAAATGAAGTCATTGACAACTTCAATCTTTTCTCCATTTATCATATTGTTATTTACTGGTCCAATGGTGAGGATTTTTGTTTCCTTTACATTGAGGTGCAACCCATACTAAAGACTTTGATCTTCATCAGTACTTTAAGTCCTCTTCTTTTCAGCAAGCAAGGCTGTATCACATACATAGCACAAGCTGTTAATGAGCCTTCCTCCAATCTTGGTGCCACATTCTTCTTCACATAATCCAGTTTCTTAGATTATTTGCTCAGCATGCAGATTAAATAAGTGTGGTGAACAGATACAATCCTAGCACACACCTTTCCTGATTTTAAAACAATTGCTAGGTCGGCGGTTCAAGCTCACCAGCAAGAAAGAAACTTGTCATCCCACAACTCCTCTGGTCTTCAGTCATTAGTGCCTCATGAGCACAATTAAGTGTTCTAAAATTCTCATTCTTCTCAATGTACTCATAATTTTTCATGATCCAAACAGTTGAATGTTTTTGCATAGTCAATAAAGCACAAGTAAGCATCTTTCTGGTCTGCTTCCAGCCAAGACCCATCTGATGTCAACAATAATATCCCTCATACCACGTCCTCTTCTGGATCCTCCTTGAATTTCTGGTAGTTCCCTGTTGATATACTGCTACAACCAGTTTTGAAATATCTTCAGTCAAGTTTTACTTGCATGTGATATTGATATTGTTCAATTATTTTCACATTCCGTTTGGTCTCCTTTCTTTGGAATGGGCACACATCTCACGATGTAACACATGATCAAGAATCAATAGTATTGAAGGAAGAAATCCAAGCTGCATTGAAACCATTGGCAAAAAACAAGGCTCCAGGAATTGATGAAATACAAACTAGTGGAATTCAAATTGGTGGAATCTAATTGGTTGGCCAGGTAGCTCTCTTCCAAATTTCTTCACATGGATGAGTGAGTGCTTCTAGCACTTCATCAGTTTGTTGAAATGTTTCACTTTGTAATCCATCAATTCTTGGAGACTTGTTTTTTGCCAGTGCCTTCAGTGCAGCTTGGACTTCTTCCTTCAATACTATGGGTTCTTGATCATATGGTACTTCTGGAAATAATTGAACATGAACTAATTATTTTTAATACAATGACTCTGTATTCCTTCCATCTTTTTCTGATGCTTTCTGCATCGTTCAATATTTTGCCCATATTGTTGCTAAGTGCTGTCAAGTCTGTTCTGGTTCATAGAAACCCTGTATAGGGTTTCCGTTGAGTGGCTGGTGAATTTGAACTGCCAACCTTGCAGGTAGCAATCCAGTGTTTATCCTACAGCAGTACACCACAATTCCATTTTGTCCGAGGAATTTTTCAATATTGCAAGTCGAGGCTTGAATTTTTTGCTTCAATTCTTTCAACGTGAGAAATTCTGAGTGCGTGTTTTTTACCTTCTGGTTTTCTCCAGGTCTTTGTACATTTCATTGTAATACTTTGTCTTCTTGAGCTGCCCTTTGAAATTTCTTGTTTGATTCTTTCACTTCATTATTTCTTCCAGTTGCTTTAGCTTCTCTACATTCAAGAGTAAGTTTCAGAGTCTTTTCTGACATCCGTTTTGGCCTTTTCTTTCTTTCCTGTGTTTTTAATGACCTTTTGCTTTCTTCATACATGATGTTCTTATGCCATCCCACAATTCCTCTGATTTTCAGTTATTAGTGTCTAATGCATGAAATCTGTTCTTGAAAGGCCTCTCTCTAAATTCAGGTGGGATATATTCAAGGTCATATTTTGACTCTATGGACTTGTTTTCATTTCCTTCCGTTTCAGCCTGAACTTGTATATGAGCAATTGATGGTCTTTACCTGGCTTGTTTTGGCTGATGATATTGAGCTAGTCCATTATCTCTTCCCACAAATGTAGTCAGGTTGATTCCTGTGTATTCCATCTGGCTAGGTATTAATTATGATTGCTGTCACAATCAAGCTCTCCATACATCAAGGTAAGAATGTTTTAGCATTGACTCATTTTTAGCAAAGTTTGCTTAACCTCCTTAACAGACTGCTTATGGACTGGTTCCGGTGAAAGTTCCACAAATGGTTAAGCTCATCCACTTATCCTGATTCACATGAGTTTCACTTTCTGATTCTGTTTGCAGATTGTGATCCTGTGCACTAACCAAAATGGTGACCCATTCCTTCCTGTGTCCTGGTTTTTGAGAGCAGCTGCTTGTTTTGGTGGAGTTTTTCCCATGTCAGTTTACCAAGACATTGAGGACCATTTCCAGCCACTGTTTAAATAAATATGTGTTTAATTTTTTGACTCAATCCCTCACAGGCTAATTAATTCCAAGGCTTAGTTAGAAGAAATGGAAAATGTCATTTCTTGTTGTCAGAAACAATGAGAGAGGCCTAGGAATCAATCTAGTCCATCTCATCGCCTTCTGGCATCTCTACCCTTAAACTAGGGTCAGGTAGGACAGACGTTCTCTGCCAATATCTTCTGTTTGAATGCTCACACTAGAGGGTCACCAATCAGCTCTTAGAACGGCTGTGGTGTGGGTAGAAGTTGTGCATACTTCTCCTATGTTAGGTTACCACTACCCTTTCCACCTTCCTCCTGCTATGAAAATATAGTACCCCAATCCCTTTTGCCTACACCGTAAGAAAGTAGAAAGTCAAATGCTAATGGCCTAATTCTGGGTTGTTGGTATGAGAATAGTCATAGATGATCAAACTCACTGCCACTGAGTCAATTCCAACTCTTAGCAGCCCTGTGTAGGGTTTCAGAGGCTGTTAATCTTTAGGGGGAAGAGGAATAGAGCCTCCTCTTCCTCCCCCAGAGCAACTGGTGGATTCAAACTGCTGATCTTGTGGTTAGCAGCCTAACATGTGACCCAGTCACAGAAGACAGGGAATGGAAAAAGAAAAGATAAATAAGAACACAGTTTGAGGAGAAACCCAATTCTAACTGTAAGTATTTATGACAACACTTACCCTTTTTTTTTTTTTTTTT